CCTGCTGATTCTCCACTTTTTGTTTGGAGGGATTATGTGATCGGTAATTTGTTTTTCTCAACTGTTCTTCGGTTATGGTTTTGGGATTCATGCCAGAATTTCGGTTTCTTTGGATTACTGGATGATTTAGTGTTTGTTCTTTGGGTATCGTTGCCTTTGAGGATTTTTGTTTGCAAGGATGGGATTTTTATTTTTGTTAAATTTGGGGCGGGGCTTGATGCTACTCAATCCATATGGGAATTTTGAATTAGAGGGTTTTTATTGTTCTAAGCGGTACAGATCCGTTTTGGACTTATGTTGAGAGGGGTTGAAGATCTGTTTTTGACACTTACTTTGAGAAGAGGTTTGATCTTCTGTTAATTTAGGTTGCGTAGCTGGGAGGAAAACCGGCCTAATTTTCGGCTTTCCTGTTTATTGTGCATGTTTTATGACTTGTGAAGAAATCTATCAAGGAATTTGCTCTGTGAATGTTTATCAGCGATGGAGTTGTTAGATTCAGCTTTTCGTCCTTGTTTTATGCTGCTTTTAGCACTTGAATTGTTGTATGTTGCTTTTGGCACTTGAATTGTGCTGTTAATCAGCTTTAAAATGAAAACTAGCTGAAAATATTTCTCTTACTTTTATAAATTGGCCTTATGAAAATAATCACACTCTGTTGCCGTTCTTAATATAATATTTGGTGTGTTGAGATAACATGTCTTTGTACTCTTGGAGTTCCCAGAATACTCTTGCAATTTATTCTAAGAAAAAGAGTTTTTTTTTTCCTTTTAGTAATGATGACAAAATAATTTTCGCGTTAAGAGGATAAAAGGCTAATTTTAAGCTGCCACGATAAAATTTTAATAAGTTGTGTTTTTTTACTCCTTTATAGATATGCCATTGCTTGTATGTGTAGTTCAGGTGTTCTGTTGTTGAGCAAGATAAAAAGCTCTACATATGCCAATGAGAACTGATCGATGATATCTTTTTATTTTAATCTAAATTAAGCTGGTATTATATGGAATATTATCTAAATTCATGCGGCTAAATTTGTAGCAATTGTGCTCCTGGAAAGTGTGCTTACAATATCATACATAATGGATTAAAATCTTCCTCTTTTTTTCCTCAAGATTTCAAATAGCTTGTATGTCACTAGATATTAGTTTTTCTTTAGCCATGCTATTTACTAATCTGATGTTGTTGTAATTGATGTTAGGATTGCAAGGTACTATTTATTTTCTTTCAAGAGAATGTGTGTGGACGGAGAAACCTCGTCTGCAAATTGTCTCGACATGATTAAAGAAGCTGATTCACCAATTTCTGAACTTGCTATCAAGGTATTTTTGTAGAATCCTCACTGGCATGTCACTTTGCAACGTCTGTTTGGTTCCATGGAATTTGTTTACTTTCTTTTCTACCATAGCAACACCCAATCTTTCATGATGAGCAGGTAAGGAAACCTTATATAATAACTAAACAACGAGAAAGATGGACCGAAGAAGAGCACAATAAATTTCTGGAAGCACTGAAACTTTATGGCCGAGCCTGGCGAAGAATAGAAGGTGATATTATGATCAAATTCCCCTCGAGTTCATTTTAAAAGTGTCTCTCTTTAACTCTTATGAATTCTCTGCAAAGCATGCACAGATATATATCATTCCTTTATTCATCACCATGAATCTCTTTGTTCAGAGCATATAGGATCAAAGACTACAGTTCAGATTCGAAGCCATGCTCAGAAGTTTTTTTCGAAGGTCTTGCTTTTAAATCTTAATAAATAGTTTCTCTCATAATTTCTTGTTGATGGTTATACATAAGTAAATGTGCACAGTGGGGTCATGAGAACAATTTTTTGTAGATTCTAACTAAATGTTTCCTTAAATTTGTGTTGATTTCTCTGCCATTCATTTTGTAGGTGACACGGGACTCATCAAGCGATTGTCCAGGTAGTGTCAAAGTTATAGAGATACCTCCTCCACGACCCAAAAAGAAACCAAATCATCCTTACCCCCGTAAATTGGGTCATCTATCCATTAGGAAAGGTTCTCTTATAGATGGACAGCTGTGGCCTTCCAGTAAACAGTCGGTTTCTGAGCAGGAGAGTAAATCACCAACATCAGTGTTGTCTGCATTTGGATCAGAAACAATTGGAACAACTGCTGCTGACACCCTAAAGCCTTGTATGTCACCAGTTTCATCTGCTGATAGGACTGTCACGGTAGAGGAAACATTGGTCGGACAAGGGAGCCGATCTAAATCAGCTGACTACAAGTGTAATCAATCAACGGTTCAACCTGCTTTCTCTTGCATGCAAGATGTATCTCCAATGGTATTTTCATTCACTTGAAGTTCTTATAAAACCGTTATGATACTATCATTGTTGCGAAAATGATAAAATAGTTCACAAAATCCTTTCTTTCAGGATATAGACTCCGGCTTTCAAAAATCTTTTGCATCTGCGGTGGGTCCAGTTACAGGACAGCAAATGACAAGTCTTAAGTTGTTTGGAAGGACAGTCGTAGTAGGTGAATTGCAGCAGCAGTCTTCGAGAGATAAGAATAAGTTGGAATACCAGGAGGCATTCTCTAACTGTAAAGAAATAGATCCGGAATCACAAAAACCTGAGGAAAAGGATAAGTCTGATTCCCTGGGTGAAAGCGGAGGTAAATGCTATGGTCGAATTTCACCTAGGTCTCATTGTTTGTCTTCTAATGAGGATCACACATGCCTTGTGGAATCTAATATGGTTTCTTTTCCTTCTTGGTGGAATTTGTATGGAGTTATGCCTTTCCACCTTTCAAGACCCTTTAATCCAACTTTAGATCATTCCATTGATAGTAAATTTGTACATATTGCTCCTACTTCGAATGAAATTTCACAAGCTGATTCCAACACTACCTCCGATTGCAATTCTGAGGCAGCTGAGAGTGCTGTACAAATGAACGAATTAACACCAACATTAGTGCTGAAGCCAAGCAAAAATTCAGCTTTCAGCAGTGTTATTCCATCTTCTGCAAACGCTGCTAGAGGCTTTGTGCCTTACAAAAGATGTGTAGTTGAAAAGCAACTACAATGCACACCTGTGGTTAACTGCGAAGTAGTTTTTGGGCAAACGCTTGGGTATCAGTAGATAATTCAGAATCACAAACGTGTCACTTTGCTTTGTTGAGGTGATTAGAGATGATTCTGTCCACTGTGTTTTATCTTCTCTCTCATTGTTTTTCAGTTGTAGATTTGATTGATGCAGCTGTTTCAGTCGTTGTTGATGATCATGAGTGGAAGATAAACAGCCCTGTGGACACAGATTCTCCAGCTCCTCTTGTTGTATATTAGATTAGATTTGTTACTTCAATTTTTGAATAAGTGCGTTGTATTAAGTGCTTATTAACTCTGATATTATACTGCTGTTTTCATGTGGTGCTGTACAATGTATAAAACTCGTGAGATGTCTTGCTAACTTCATGGCTTTAATTTTATATTTCGAAGTAACGAGAAAAGCTCTCGTCTCTCTTTTGATTCATAAGTTCTGCTGATTTCAGTATTTTCCAATAATCTTTGCTGAGAGATTTGATATAATTTAACTGGCCTAAGGCATTTTCCAAATTGTTGAATCTTGATTTGTGAGAGAATCACATTTCAATGGATTAGAATGTAGAAGAAGAGAGAAGAGATAGAGAGAGATAGAGAAAATAGTGCACTGTGATGACCAGTAGTGTGTGCCATTTTATTTATGAAATGATCTATTTAAATAGTGTTGTTACAATATATTCTAGGTATTTCACAAAAGTGGGCCTAGAGCTTAACTACTCTTTGACTCGATTGGTTGGGCTTGCGAAGCCTCAACTTAGCGAGGTTAGTCCAGTTGGCTAGGCTGAGTCATTGTCATCGGTCGGATGGTCTAGATTAGCTCAGGGTTGTCATGAATGATTCGATCAACTAAGATTTTCTAACTGCTTGGTCTGGTCTGGCCGTCGACCAATGATCTTGGGTAAGAGACTTTTGTCGGTAAAGTGGAGTTAGGCTATTGGGTAGTCACCTTAATACGATAGGTAGCTACTCTTTGACGAAGAGATTATGAGGGATAGCTAATTCTTGTCTTATTTACTCTTGATAACAATTGGGGGACTGCTGGATGTTTCCAATATAATTGCAGGACTCGAGAGATTAGCTCCTACCTCGGTATCATTGTGGTGATAGGCTCAAATTTTCATATTGCTCGTATATGGCCGAGCCACTTGGTTTCAAGTCCTTTGGTTGCCTTTATGACTTGGTAGGCATTATCTTTGTTTTGCAATTTGGAAAATTGGGATTCCGGGACTTCTACATTGAGTCGTCCCTTGATGTACTTTTCTTCTCTCTGGACAGTCGGATCTCATCTGGATCAATACTGACTCATTTTATGTATGCATATTTAGTTCCTCAATTCTCTTACTTTTTGAAAGTCATGTTGCAATATAAATAAGAAAATTTAATACAAAGAGTAAATCTTATTAATAACTATCTAATGATTCAATAATCAAATTCTCTAGATTTTTGTGCCCTCGGTTTCTTAAATAGAGTGTGGAGTACTTTGCCTTTCCATATCTACTTTACTTAAATCCTTGTTTGGAAAAATTAGCCTGCAAGCATTGTCATGATGAAAGAGCTAGCTCATGGGGTCAATCTCTACGACAAGGTAATGTATCTCAAGCCTTCTGGGGTATCGAGGGTGTGATCCTATCTGGAAGACAAAAAGAGGAAGAAGAAGATTGTTGCTAAGAAAATAAAAGTTTGTTGCACAAGATCAGGTGGGATCATTCGACTCGCTCTGCGGTAGTCAGCAGAAGACGATGAAGCCCGATCGGGTGATCAACTTGTCGATCTGTCGGTTCCTACTCTTGTTGTGACCAAAATCCTACCGACCGATCAGATTGCCCAGGAAGCTGCTGGTACTTTAGAGTCGTGCGGGGTGCAAAAGAACACTAATGCTTTGCCGATATTTGGTGAGGGTGATGTGTCGTTTATAACGTCCTAGTGGGATTGAATCCTTGGTATGGGAAGCTTTGATCTTCTTTATCTAAATTTTATTCTTTCCTGAAGTTCATTTTATTTATATTGCCTCTTAGTGTAGCCCATCCGATTCCAAAGGCAACAGGCGTTGATTCACTTTCGACGAATGTTGGTGAGGACCCAATCACATCGTTAGTAGTTGCGGCTCAGGAACTTGCTGGGAGCGACCGACTCCCATGTGAGGATGAAGAGTTATTCTTCTAAATGGTTCTTGAGATGCCCAAGAGGAAACAACTGATGGACATCAGATGTTCACTAGGTTGTTGGCCCATCGCTTGGATGAGAAAGATGACTCCTTTGCTTCAGTAGTTAGAATCCCTTAAGGCGAGAGATACATGGTTTTTTTGTTCATGTTGAAAAAACAAACATGATGGAAGGGGAGATGACCTCTCCTCATTTGAAAATGATTGCCCGTTTCAAGGAGATGATGAGCATTTGGGAGACATGTTCCATGTCTCGGGTCTAAACTTAATTAGACTGAGTGGACCAATTTAATATTGGGGGAGATGTCATGTATAAGAGCATGCTTCATCGAGGGTATGTCTTGACTGAAGTAGTGGGAGAATTCCTTGTAAATTACTTCCTCTTAGAATAATTTCGAGTAGTGCTTGTAATATCTAATTTCAAATTATTACTTTTTGGAATCATGTTGTGATGCCAGTTTTTAATCTATACAGTTAGGAAGTTATTCAAGTAATTTTGCTTTTGCTCTTCTGAAGGTTCAAATCCTCCCCTCACCTTATAATAAGGGTGAGGGGTTTTTGCCTGACATTTAGCTTTCTTCTTTTTCCCTTGATTTTCTCCCACTTTCCCAACCATCTTTTTTTGCGCTTCTTCAGATTGCTTTGAAGTTTTCTCTGAAGCTCTTTTTATCAATTCTTGTGACTGAATGGTTGACCATGCCATCAGGATAGGTGGTCCTTATGCAAAGTACCTATGTTTATGATCCTGTCGTACAGCTCCGGGGCACTGAGAGATATGACCGAGTGATAAAGTTTTTTTGTACTGATCTCGTTTTCTAGCAAGATCAGTTCAATTATGATTTGAGACTACTGCTTTACCATAAACTGTGGGTAGTTTTCACTTGTATGGGGTTATTCCTGCTCAGGTTTTGACGAACTCCAAAAAAGCTATTATGACCTATGCTTTCTTTAACTACTAAAAAGAAATCTTATGGTCAATGGGCGTTTCACTTACATGTTTATTTTTCGGGTTAGTTAGGATAATTATGCTCAATTTTTTATGGCTCTGGGTTTTAATGGTTGGGGTTGGAAAATAAAATTAAAAATTAGAATATGCGTTTCATGCTCAACTCTTCTTTTATCAGCTGAGAAATCTATACTATTTTGATGTATGGTGTGGCTAAGAAGAAGAGATCTTTATCAGATCATCTTTGATTTGAATAAGAGGAATCAAGGGGCAGCAACCATGGATTTTCCATTACCTTGAACTGTTTGTCCTCAATCGGGCAATATAGTCGGAGAAGTTTGGGTTGATGATAAAGGAATTCTAGGCAACTTTAGACTAAGAGGCTAGACAATAAATGAAGGCTATTGCTCAGAGTGCCAAAAAAAAATATTAAGTGAAGTCTACTCGCTCCGAAACCTCGGTGTTAGCCAACAAACTGGTGTCCAGAATCATTCCTGATGGAGATAATGTTAAAAGTGTTAACTTTGTTTTTTTTGTATTTGAATCTACTTTTTTTTGTTCAAAATGTTTCCACCAGTGAATTAAGGCTAATTGAGAGGAAAGCTAAAAGCTTTCTATTAAATGCATGTTCTTTGGGTGCACATCATCAAGAAGACAAAAAAATGTCGAGTGTACTAGAATTAAGTGATGTTGAAGGAGAGGCCTCGACAGAAAGAGTGAAGATGGGGTCAGCGACCGATTTGCCACCGAGCCCATCCTTCATTGATCTAAAATCAAGGAGAGAAGCAAGTTGGCGATCCCCTTTTATCTAAAGTAAAATTGGATCTGAGCATGAGCCCGAGCTAGCTTCTTAAGAGGAGGTACACCACCAAGAGGGGAAGGCTTATGTTTCTGATCTCAACACCTGCTTCCTCCATTCCAAAAAAGGTGGAAGGGTTTCCACACCTAAGTAAGTTCCTTTCCAAGATGAGGGAGTGCATGTGTGGAACAGCTCCAATAAGAGTTTTTCCATGATTGGCATGAAGATTAATTGATATTTTGACTCTCCAATGACGGTGAACTATCCTTCATTTATTGATGAGATTATTAGGTTCCACACTTTCGAGTGGTCTCTTAGGAGACTTGAACATCCAGACCTCTACCAGACAACTGATTGATATCATCTGATGTCCTGCCAGGCTTCCCACTACCAATAAATGGCTACTTCCATGGAGGAGTCATAAATCTTGGATGCATGGGTGAAGATGGTTGAGGAACTGGCATTAGCAGTTAAGAAATGGTTGGCAATGAACAAAGATGAGATGCTCAATCAGTCAGAGTTTTTTTTCAGCAACTTTAAAATAGAATCAAGTTTTGAGGGACAGGATGATGACACTAAAGTCAAAAAAAGAGAATGTAGATGGACATGCTCAGTAGCTCGGGATTGGAACCTCTCCGGAAATAAGCGAATTTATGAAGAAAAAGATCGTCGACACAAAATGGTCCAACTTAAGAGAACCTGCTATGTTCCTTTCTGACTAAAGAGAAAATTTTACAAACGGTGTATGTGCGTAGCTCCACGTGGGGACTCCAGTAATATACCAACATGTGTGTTATATCGAGCCCGCCTAAAAAAATATTAAAGTGAAACCATAAAGATTATTAGAGTGGAACTGCGGAGGTTATTAGAGTGGAAGTGTGAATGTTATTGGGAAGGTTATTTTGGCATTAACTTCAATAACGCCATAATAAACTCTTAATAACCTCCTAATAACCCTCCAGAAATCTCTGCAGTTTCACTCCAATAACCCCCAATAACCTCCGATGGTTCCACTTCAATAACTCGCGTCAGTAACTTCTACAATAACCCCCCAATAACTCCCAAATAACATCCGCAATTCTACTTCAATAATCCCCTGCATTAACCCTCGCAATAACCCTCCAATAATCCCCCAATAACCTCCTTAATTTCGCTTCAATAACCCTAAAATAACCTCCACATTGCGGCATATTACTGGAAGTCTGCACATAGAGCTGTGTCCGGACTCTGTATGGAAAATTTTCTCTTGACAAGGAGGAAGATGACAAAGAAGATGAAGTGGAAGGAAGCATCGAGGATAATGGGAGGGAGGGGGGAGGGGGGTTATTTGAATGCCCTATCCCTTTGATTATATTGTACTTGAAGAATTTTTTTTTTTTTTTTGAACATTTGTAAGGTATATGAATCTTTTTGTAAATATTTTTGTAATCTTCTATGAAATTGAATGATGTTTTTTAGTCAATTTTTTCTTTGTCTCTT